CTTATCTACATGGGCGGTGGGTGATGCAGGCAAGGGACGGTTTAGGTTGGACATTAGGAAAAACCTAATGCCTTCCCACAACTGCCCACGCTCCCGACTGTCTGGGAGGGCAGGGGCCGTGGTACCCCAGCCCTGGCCGTCCAGCTGGCCAGGAAGGATTGGGCTTCAGGGCTGGGGACGGATTAGGGAAACTGAAGGGGCGGGGTCTTGGATGAAAGGGGCGGAGCCTCAGGCAGAAGGGGCGGGGCTGGAGCATGCATTCCCCAGCTGGGCCTTCAGCCTCCACCCATGCTTATCTCACGGCTAAATTATGCTGACGCATCGCTGCCTGTGGGATGCTCACAAGCTATTTGCCACCACGCTGGTTTCATGTATTTGCTGCCCCCCCACTCCCGGTCTGATTGTTCACGTAAGTCACATGGGGCCAGATTTCCCAGACTCCGCTCTCATTAGGGCACCAGATTAAGTGGCCGGCTTCTCAGAAGAGCGCAGCACGCTGGGCCCCAAGGCCTGGCCAAAGCTTCATTCCGGGGGCTGAGCCCTGGAAAACGTGCCCCCTGCTATTGTTCCTGCGGCTCGACTGGAGAGTCCAGGCCAGTTGCATCCAGCACGAATGCTTGTGCAAAGGCACATTTACACACGTATTCACCACCCTTTCCCTGTCTGAGACCAAAGCAGCCCTTGCACGAGTGAACAAGTAGCCCTCGGTAAATACACGCGCACACCCGCACAATCAACGAATGCCCTTTATTCAGCTGGGACAGGGAGGGGGAGGCCTTATGGTGTATTACATCAACTCCTGTTGGCAGGCGAGAGCGCGGGCGGGAGGGAGCGAGGGAGAGCGAGAGGCTTTCGAGCTGCACCCGGCTCATCGCCAGGCCTGGGAAAGGTGCTGAGACCGTCACAGCTAAACACAAGGCTGCACTGATGGGTTAGGGCAGGTCGGTAAGGCATATTCTAAACCAGGGCCGGGGAACCGTTTTTGGGTGGGGGGGGGTCGCTGACCCACAGACAAATCAGTCGGGGTCACACAAAAGTGAAAAGAAAACCCACCCTTCACTGATGTGGCCCCCAGTGGAGAGGCAGAATGACACTCCCCACGTTCCCCTCCCACACCAGAGCCTAGGGGAGCCTGGGCTAGTAGATTCTGTGCACCCCTCTAGGCTTTGCAGTGGGAGGGGCTGCCAGGAATCATAGAATCATAGAACTGGAAGAGACCTCAGAAGGTCATCAAGTCCACCCCCCGGCATTCCCCAGCTGGGCCTTCAGCCTCCACCCATGCTTATCTCACGGCTAAATTATGCTGACGCATCGCTGCCTGTGGGATGCTCACAAGCTATTTGCCACCACGCTGGTTTCATGTATTTGCTGCCCCCCCACTCCCGGTCTGATTGTTCACGTAAGTCACATGGGGCCAGATTTCCCAGACTCCGCTCTCATTAGGGCACCAGATTAAGTGGCCGGCTTCTCAGAAGAGCGCAGCACGCTGGGCCCCAGGGCCTGGCCGAAGCTTCATTCCGGGGGCTGAGCCCTGGAAAACGTGCCCCCTGCTATTGTTCCTGCGGCTCGACTGGAGAGTCCAGGCCAGTTGCATCCAGCACGAATGCTTGTGCAAAGGCACATTTACACACGTATTCACCACCCTTTCCCTGTCTGAGACCAAAGCAGCCCTTGCACGAGTGAACAAGTAGCCCTCGGTAAATACACGCGCACACCCGCACAATCAACGAATGCCCTTTATTCAGCTGGGACAGGGAGGGGGAGGCCTTATGGTGTATTACATCAACTCCTGTTGGCAGGCGAGAGCGCGGGCGGGAGGGAGCGAGGGAGAGCGAGAGGCTTTCGAGCTGCACCCGGCTCATCGCCAGGCCTGGGAAAGGTGCTGAGACCGTCACAGCTAAACACAAGGCTGCACTGATGGGTTAGGGCAGGTCGGTAAGGCATATTCTAAACCAGGGCCGGGGAACCGTTTTTGGGTCGGGGGGGGGTCGCTGACCCACAGACAAATCAGTCGGGGTCACACAAAAGTGAAAAGAAAACCCACCCTTCACTGATGTGGCCCCCAGTGGAGAGGCAGAATGACACTCCCCACGTTCCCCTCCCACACCAGAGCCTAGGGGAGCCTGGGCTAGTAGATTCTGTGCACCCCTCTAGGCTTTGCAGTGGGAGGGGCTGCCAGGAATCATAGAATCATAGAACTGGAAGAGACCTCAGAAGGTCATCAAGTCCACCCCCCGGCTCGAGGCAGGACCAATTCCAGGCAGGACCAATTCCAGGCAGGACTGGAGTGGGGTTTGGGTGCGAAGGAGGGTGCAGGAGCGGGTTGGGGGGTCTGAGGGATGGGAGGGTGCAGGAGCGGGTTGGGGGTTCCGGGGGATGGGAGGCTG